TGGTGGAACCCGACCGCTCCGCCGCCGCTGCCGCCACCGCCGCCGCCGCCGCCGGTGTAAGCGCTGGAGCTTCCTACTAAGCCAACTGAACCTGCCCGCGACTGAGCATGCGCCGCCGGGCCGCTCCGGGTTTTCCGGCTCGCCGCGGATGAGGAGGGGCGCGCGCAAGAAGAGGCTGGGAGGGCACTGCAGGGGCGGGGCCGAGGGACCCTGCAGGCGAACCCCGGACCCGAGGGCCTGGGCGTGGGGGCGTAGCGAGCAGGCAAAGCGCCCCCTTTGTGTGGTCCGGCAGGCCGGGAGCAGCCCGTCCCGCTCCGGGAGATCCTGGGCCCTGGGTCTCAGAAAAAGGGGGTGTGTGTACTTTGTTCCCAACGTGAAGATAAGGAGTGCCCTGAGCATGCACTGTCTACTAAACAGATTGCACACACACACACACACACACACACACACACACACACACACACACACACACACACAAAATAGGTTCCTTCTCACAAAAACTACTGCTCAGTGTTTGCCGGGTGAGAGGAGAGATCGCCTTGTTTCCATAACAAGGAAAACGTAGACGTGGATTATGTATTGATCATGCGTCTACTCAAACCCACGGCATTTATTTACGGGCTTAGTCCACCCTGCTTTGTATCTTTTATGGCTTCAGCTGCATGATTAGCTTCTGAAAGACCGTTTTATTGTTCGTTTGTTTGTTTTGTTTTTTCACCTGGTACACGACCCAGAATAGAGACATGAAGACCCCGGAATGCTATAGACGCAGTCTCTATGAATTGTCCTTCCATCCCTAGGATGCAGACGCTTACGAGAGTGGCATTGTGCAACTCTGTAGCACATTATGCTTTATCATCGAACGCTTTCTGGGTAAAGTGTCGTTTCAGTTCTCAGAGTTTTCATTTCATAGATGAGAAGATAGTTCGAAGAACCAGCCTGGGCTCAAACTGACATCATGTCCTGCTGTTTCGGGGTACAATAAACAAGATCTCACAGGTGAAAGATGTTTGAAACCACCGTTCTTAATCTTTAGACGACCTCCTAGAATCTGAATGAAATCTTCACGTTGTCCCTTTTGTAATACACACACAGGTTTACATCTTTCGTTTAATCCCCCACCCTTTGGACCTGTTTAAGATGATATTTCGAAGTCTATCCACAAACCAACCATCTTTGTAATAAGTCAGCAGAGCGGACCTGCTGGGGAGATGGCGCTGGCAATAAGGGGCACTTGTCACCAAGCCTGAGAACCTGAGTTCTGCCTCAGGGACCCACACAGTAGAAAGAGAAAAACTGACTCCCAAAAGCTGTTTTCAGGCCTCCATACATGTTCAGTGGCAGACAAACTACACACAAAATAAAATGTTTAAAGAGAGAGGCATTGAACTATAGCCTGGGGAAGAGTTGGAAAAGAGTTTCAGAGAACAACGTATCAGTTATTTTCAACAACTGGTTTGTGTGGTCCAAAGTGACTGAACCAAATCAGCCCTCGATAGAAAACTATTTCTTGGGAGAGGGAGGTAGAAGCAGAGGTACCAGGCCAATCTCAGCTACACAGTGAGTTCCAGGATAGCCCGGGCTACGTGAAATGCTATCTCAAAAACTAAAGAATATACACTTTAAAGTTCTGCACAAAGCTATGCACCTGACTCCTACTTAAAACACTCAACATTTTCTCACAACTGTCAATCACAGTTCCTCTCGCTCTAGTCACACTTGGCCTTGTCTAATCCTGGAAAACAACACTCCTGCTTCCATGGCTTTACCCTTTTCCCAGTCTGGAGCATCTAGCTGTTCACGTGGCTAGTTTTAACATTATTACCTCCAAGAGGCCTTTTCTGATGAGTTTAATTAACTACCAGGTGTCCTATGTAACTCCTTCCTAGCACTTACTCGGTCGTCTCTTCTCCGTGATCTCCCCTCACTAGGATGTAAATACCAAAAGATCAGTCCTTTCATGTATGCAGTTCACTATTGCACCACCGGATTTAGTATGTGTGCACAGCAGGAGGCATTGTTCCAAAGGCATCAAGGTTGCATGGAAGAAACTTCCAGTATAAACACAAGGAGTTATCGGGCTTAGCGACGCTAGTCTTTAATCCCAGCACTCAGGAGGCAGAGCTGGTGAATCACTGTGGGGTTCAAGGCCAGCCTGGTCTACATAGTGAGTTCCAGGACAGCCAGAGCTACAGAGTGAGACCCTGTCTAAAAAAATATATATTTTTTAAAGTTGTCGCAGAAAGAAAGAAAAAAAAAAAACAGGTGATCTTTGAGATTGTGTAAGCAGATCTACATTTACTCACTTCAAGGTGTCAGAGAGCACTAAAGGATTGGTAACTGAGCTCCAGGATTCCCTTCCCCTAGGAATCTGATTTAAGTGCAGAACCAAACAGGCCCTAGGAACATGATGGGTTGTCGAGTTTAGCGGCCAGGTCAGGTTTCCACCAGTGTGAAGCTCTGGCTGCAAGACAAGGGAACAAGAGGCTCCACTGCTTCCTAGGGGAATTGCAAGAGGGGAAGCCAGCGCCGCTGAAGTCGCGGAGCTCTCGAGCCACTGTCCACGGCCTGCCGGCCTCTCTTAGGACAAAAGCAAACGCCTGGCGGCAGCCAGCAACCCCGAACTCCAACGCGTGCGTTTTCGCGCAGAGCTCGGCCGACTGGCGGCGCAAGCGCAGAGGCTCCCCCGGGCGCCACTCCGCGGTGCTAGGCGTTTGCCTCGCTGCCAGAGCGGAGGTGACGCACCGGGGTGCGTCGGGGCTCGCTCGTCGCATCCCGAGGCAGGAGCGTCCAGGCAGAGTAGCCGAGTTCCGAGCGCATCGGACCTGGAGCGACTGGGGGGAGGACGCTCGGCCCTGACAGCGCCCCCTGCAGGTGCCAGGGTGGCCCCGCTGGCCGGGACACAGGACCACCTGGTTTCCTCCACCGCAGCCGCAGTCATCTTGGAAGCCCGCTTGGGAGCTAGCGACCACGTTTCTGTTCAAGAGTATCCACCGGTGTCCCGGGACAAAGTCCGAAGTCCTTAAACCTGGGACTCATCGATTTGCATAATCGCGCCAACTCGTTGTCGCTCCAAATGCATCTGTCCCTCTTGCCTCCCGCGCACTCATCACTGATTCGTGCACGTGCTGTTTGTTCCAAGTGTTTGGAATACCTGTAACTTTTTTCTTCCACTCCGGGCAGCACCGTCCCACCTCAGACCCTCTGGTACTCTAGGAACTCACACCCAATCTGCGTTCCACCCCCCTTCACCCCCAGCTTAAATATCACTTCTCTACAGCCCCCAGTCCGGATTCCTGTCCTTGAAGTTCCTGTCTCACGGGAGTTAAGAATAGCAGCTTCAGCCATTACAAAATGTACGGCCTCCCTCTGATGCATACATATCCAACCTGCATTCTTTACTTGATCCTTTTTTTTCCTCATCCCTTCTTCCCTTCAATTCCATTGTTTCAAATAGTGTGTCCTCTGGAAACACGCCGGAGAAAACACCGATTGAGAAGAGCACGGAATGCCTGCCGGTTAACACTCATCCTGGACTCTCACCGTTTTCCTCCCAGTTTGCAAAGGTGGTAGGAAGCAGGGTACGTTATTAATGAATAATGAATTAAATGGAATGATCACAGGATCGTCATAACATACAAGCCTGTTCTTTGCCCTTGCTATATTTGCCAGCATCACCAGAGTCCAACTTTCTGCAAAAATCCCCATTTGATTCAAACAGTAATAGATCCTCAAACTGATCGCATAGAACTCAATGCAACTTAAACAAACCCTCAACACGATTTTTGATTGAACACGACAACCCAATTCTGAGCTGCGAATGAAAGAAAGCAAGGTCAATTTTCTTTAAAGCGACAAGGTGTGTGTATGTGTGTGTGTCACTATGTCAGCTTAGACGGGACTTTTGTCGTATTATTTTCCGTGTGTGTAGTGGGGGGTAGGGTATCTCACGAAGCCCAGGCTTACCTCAAAATCACTTTGTAGCTAAAGATGACATTGAACTTCTGATCTTCCTGCCTTCACATGCCACTTCCTGGGATTACAGTTGTTATACCAGGGTTGAGTTTACTTATGTAAAAGAGTAAACATTTTAAATTCAGACATTGATCAAGAGTATCAACTAGTCTGCGACTTTGTTCAGATTTCACCAGTGTCCCAACAATGTTCTTTTATAGAGATTGTTTTGTTTTATCTGCAAAATAGGCTTGTGTCACCACACACAGATTGTCTTCTGAACATAGACTATCTTTCCATTTATAAAGGTTATTTATTCATTCCTATGGTGCTGGGAATCGAGCATTACTACCTCCAAGGTGTTTCTTCTGCACCTTCTTCAGCCAAGTGCTCTACCACGAGGTTATAAACTTGACTTTTGTGTCTTTCAATGATGTTTTGCAGATTCCATGGCATATCAGGAGAGCAACAACCATTGTTGATAATCATGCTCATGAGTATTTTAGTCCACTTGAATTTCTAAGGATGCCAGGCTGAACAGCAAGCATTTTCACCCACTGGGACATCTTTCTGGCCCTGGAATAGGATTTTATTTTATTTTACTTTAAGTCATTTTAAATTCACCAGGAGATGGTTATTCTCAACTTTAAGCATGGAAATTTTGAGAGTAGCAAATATAAATGATATGCTTTAGGTCCTGCTATCACGAAACCATACATGCACATGTACAGATATTGTTAGGGAGTTTGACTTTCAAAACTGCAGATGTATAGTCATTATTTATGATCAAGGCACTTATGTGATCCAGCTATACAGCCTTATCATTCAAATTTACTGACAGCTAGCTAAATATGATCTCAAGAAGACTTAGAATTCATTCCACTGAAGTTGACTGCTAGAGAGAAAATACTGATCATTTCTTTGAATTCATGACAGAAAAACCTCTCTGCATATTTAAAATTAATAAAATGTTGTATATACTGGGATGGGATTTTAAAATTACATTTCTACCTAGTTAATGTCTGATTAAAAGGGGGGAAATTCCTTTAAAAAATAAGTGGATTAAATGTGGCCAGTTTATTTAAGTCTTTTTATTTGTTGCAGGAGCTTTGTTTAGTAGTAGTATGGATTGAACCCAAGACTTCATGTATGCTTGGCAAGCATGTCACCCGATGAGTTAAATCCCCAGTTTAAATAGCCTGTGGGGGTTTTGTTTGTTTGACATTTGCTTTTTTTTTTTTCAAAAATGAAATATATGATTTTCTGGAATGCAATAGTTTTCTTTATATTTATTTAGTGTGTGTGTGCATGTGTGCACACGTGTGTGTGTGTGTGTGTGTGTGTGTGTGTGTGTGTGTGTGTGCGTTGTGCTCATGTGTGCACACGTGTGTGTGTGTGTGTGTGTGTGTGTGTGTGTGTGTGTATCAGAGAACAACTTTGTGGCATCATTTTTTCCCTTCCACCTTACTGTGGGTTCCAAGGATAAACTCAGGTACCAGACTTGTGAGGCAAGCACCTTTCTATTCTGATTTCCTGTCACCACCCCTTGCAATGATTTTTAGAGAAATACATAGACGCTGCCTCCAAACTTTGCATAAAGTCAGGGGAAATGAGATCAAGAATCCAAAATACTCCAGAAGGGACCCTTTAGCCATTCTGCCTTGACTGGATTTGTACTGCGTCCATCACTGATGTGGAGAGCTGTTGAATCAAAAAAGTCATCTGAAGGGGTTGGAAAGATGGTTCATTGGTTAAGAGTGCTTGTTGGGAGCTGGAGAGATGGCTCAGCAGTTAGGAGCACTGTCTGATCTTTCAGAGGACACAGTTTCTTTTCCCAGCACCCACATGGCAGCTCACAACCATCTGTAAGTCCAGTCCCAAGATAATCAATGCCTTCTTCTGGCCTCCTTGGGCATTACCTGCAGGTGATGCACAGACAGGCAATAATTTTTTTTTTAGAAAATAAATTTAAAAAGAGTGTTGCTGCTGCTCAGAGAACCTGAGCTTTGTTCCCAGCGACCATATTGGCTAGTTCATAACCACTTGTAACTCCAGCTCCAAAAGATCCAATTTCCTCTTCTGGCCTTCATGGCCACCTACACACACAGACACACACAGACACACACACACAGACACACACAGACACACACACACAGACACACACAGACACACACACACACACACACACACACA